TCCAGAAGCTTCTCCTACTTCCTTTCACAAGCCCTTCGCTAACCTCAAAAGGTGTCCAGGATGAAGTATCTTGATCTTATCATTTCCCTGATTTTTATTCTTTTATTCCCCAAATACATGTTTTGCTTGGGTCTTAGCCCAATTTAAGTAGATTCATGTCATGGGTATTTTTAGTCATAATTTGCAAGATTCTTTTACCTATTGCTATAATGACTTATACTTTGCTTATTTTCACAGCCACTGGGTTTTCCGTTGTTTGATATAGTATGATTAATTTGTCTGCCTACTATTGATGGAACTTTGAATTTTTGCCAGTTTCTATCTTTCGCTACTCTGAACATTCATGCATGTGTTTTCTGGTGTACCTGAGCCTCTCTCTCTCACACACACACATGCACATAAACACACATGTTCACACATGTGTATATATTTATGGTAAAATTGGTAGGTATGTGTGTCTTCAACTATAGAAGAGTGCTATTTTTCCATTGTAGTAGATTTGTATTAGCGTGTCTCATTATGCCACAACATGCCATTAATTAGCCTTTCCTTAATTGTCATTGAGGTTCATGGTAAATGGACAATTTGATCTCAAGCCTTTTGTTCTCTTATTACTGCCCATTGTCTGTCTATTTCTCTCACTGATTAGTAAGGAGCCTTTTATGTTTTCTGGGCATACAATTCTTTGTCAGGTCTCATTATTACAGTGTAACAACGACTTCCACATGTCGTGATGCAAAGCAAGCAGCAATGATTTTCTTTTGCTCATGTTTCAGAGGATCAGAGATTGGAGAAGGGCTTGGTTGCATAATTCTTATGTGGGATGTCTCCTTTGGTTTTGTCATCTGTCCGAAATCTTGACTGGATTATATGTCTGCTAGATGATGCTGACTGTCATCTGGAAGCTCAGCGAGGTCTGTAAACAGGTGTGCCCACTTATGGTCTTTCTACCATGACAATTCAAGGTAGTTGAACTTCCTGTGCTGCAACCAACTTCACAAGAAGAGCATCCAAAGTGAGCGTCCCTGGAAGATCTCATGGGAGCCATGAGATCTCAAAAGATGTAGTCAGGAGAAGAAATAATATTTCTTATAATGATAAATAGTATTATTATTTCTCCAGAGGAAATAATTCCCATTCTTGATAGTGATGTGCAACGTCACCTTGCAGTAGAGTGTGGAACATGGTAGATATTCTAGAGACCATCTTTGAGGGACACACTTGACCTCAAGGTATGACAGATTCCCTCTCTCATTTAGTGTCTTTACCTTTTACTCCTTGTGAAACAGGGTCTTGCTCTTTTGCTCAGGCTGATCTGTAACTCTTAGGCTCAAGTTAGTCCTCTTGGCTCAGCCTCCTGAGTAGCTAGGACTACAAATATATATCATTGTGTCCAGGTCACTCTTTGGAGGCTGGACGAGATGAGTGATATTATTTTAATGCAGTACTCTTGGGAGTTATTTTTGTCCTAAGTGGTATTATTTGAATTCTTTTAAAGAAATGTTTTCTATCTTGATATCATGAAGATATTTACTCTTTTTTAAAAAAAATCATTGATGAACTATTGTTTATTATTTTTGTTTGTTTCATGTTTAGATCTACAGGCACCTGAGATTGCTTTCTCTATATAGTGTGAAGTAGAGAAGGGCCAAATTTATTTCTTTTTTCCCCCCTCCATATGAATATCTAAATCATTCGTGGTTAATTATGCAAACTTCCTTCTTTCCTCACTATGCTGGATTTTTTTGGACTGACACTACTATGAACAAATAGCCAATAAGCACATAAAACACATGCTCAACAACATCATTATCCATAAAGGAAATGCAAATCTAAGCCACAATGAAATCCCACGTCACTCCTCCTCAGTTGGCCATAATGCTAATGATGGAAAATGAAAATTGCTGGCGAGGATGCAGGAAGTGAAAGTCCTTCTACACTCTGTGGAGCCGTTAAATGGTCCATCCACTTCGGAAACTGACTAGTAGCTACACAAAAAGCTAGATTAAGAGTCATCATAGGCCTCTGCAATTCCTTTGCTAAGGAGTGTATGTGAGCAAAGTGAACCTACATATCAGCACAATCATGTGTATATGAAGGTCCATGATATCATTACTTAAAACCTCCCAAAGAATGAAACGATCTAAATATTTATCACCTAAATGCATGATAAAGAAAATGTGGTTTGTCTTCACCATGGAATGTAATGGTGGCATAAAAGAAATAACATACAATGTCGATGAACCTTGAAAACATTATAATGAATGAAAGAAACTGGTCACAAAAGGATACACATTATATTTATTCATTCTTGTGAACTGTCTATACTAGTCAAATAGAGATTTGTGGTTGCCTGGGGTTAGGGATTGACACCTAGAGAGTACAAAAGTTCCTTTCTAAAACATTTTCTAAAGTATTTTTGTTGTGTATGTGGTACTGAGGAATCAAATCCAGATCCTCATGCATGCTAGGCAAGCACTGCACCACTGAGCCACATTCCCAGCCTGAAAATAATTTTTAAAGCTCTAAAGTTGATTTTGGTGACAGTTTCATGACACAAGATAGACTAAAAGCCTCCTTGAATAGATGAATAATATGATGTGTTATATCTCAATCAAGCCTTAAGCAAAACATTGGCTGTATGTTTTGTTAAGACAAACATAAATGCTATAACAAATCTGGTATTTGGCTTCAAGTGGTTGTTGGTAGAGTGGAACTTCTGAGTTGTGAAGTGGTGGTTACAGCAGATGAGGTAGAAAGCTGTCTCTTTTCCAATGAAGTCAGGTGGCTGGAAGGTGTTTGAAATGTGTGTGTGTGTGTGTGTGTGTGTGTGTGTGTGTGTGTGTGTTATCAGTTGCATTAGATAAAATTCACAGATACAACAAAAACAACAGGACCAGACGTTAGCTGGGTCTTTATGTCTATCATAAACAGGGTGCAAAAAGCAGATCTGCAAACTTTGACGTGACTATGCTCAATGTGTTGAGTGGTATAAGTAGGTTTATATCTACCATCTTGCCCTTTGTTTTTTATTTGTGCTCCTTTGTTGTTTATTTTTTTCTTGCCTCCTATGGATTCATCAGGTATTTATTATTATCACATTTGTCATCTATTTATCATTATTATTATCATCACACTTCTATTGTGAAGATAGTCATCAATTGTCCTTTCTTGTCCCCAAATTCATGTGCTTTTATAACACAAAATTATACAGTGTTTTCTATCAGGCATTGAAGGTGATTGCTCCTCCCTTTGGTGATGAGACGGTCTTTAATTTTAGCAAGCAAACCTAGCAAAAGTGGTATTAGGAAGACTTTGTCCCTTGGCATTCTGGCAACTCTGCTGCCACCATGGTCTGTACATTGCCTGAGCAGCCTGCTAGAGGACTTGAAGCAGAGGAGAATACAAAGTGAGGCTCAGCTTGAAATTTCAGATGAGATATGTTGAAACAAAGAGCAGAGAAACCAATGGAAACATTAGAAGGCTTTTGATTTGCAGTTGTTAGGCAGTGCTGGATACATTGTTTTGTCTTGAACAGCTAGAAAAGGCCACAGATTGGAGGGGGGATTGGAGGGATGGAGGCTGCAGAGTTTATAAAATGAAGCCACAAAGCAAGAAAGCAAGCAGCTATGGCATAAGAGCCAGTGTCCCCTGGGGGGGGGGGGACAGTCACACATTTCCTAGGCAGACAGGAAGACGGGAATGAGAGAGACAGGAACTGAGTAGGAGTCAGATGACGCTTCCATCTTCAAAGGGACTCGGTGTCCCTGGTGTTTGGATGTTGTCCCAGGAAAGGACAACAGAGTAGGAGATTGTGCCTGGAAGATAATCTGAGGGTATGGAGTCAGTGCCTTGTCTGTTTAGGAGATTGCCAGGAATAATGTGGTCACTGCAGACCCGCCCCTATGCGACATCCTGTTGGAACTACCTGGGGTTGTTGTTCACTCACAGGACCACAGACACCCTCAGAGTCACAGGCCCAAGTTAGCCTCTCAGAGAGAGCCCCTCTCAGTGCAAAGGGGTAAAGTAAACGCCCCTGGCCCCATTCCCAGTGGTCAGAGGCAGAGCTCTCCAGCTGTGCTTCATGCTGCTGAGGGTGGACGGTAAACTTTGGGGAAATACACAAATAGATCCCCACCCTCCCACCTCTCCTTCCCCTCTCCTCCACTCCATGTTGGAAGGGAAGCAATAGAGGGCCAAGCATTTCCCAAAAGGAGCCCGAGTCAGCTGGAGAAGAGACCTAGATGTAATCTAGAAATGGCTGAAGAAATCATAGGCATAAAATTGTTTATTTGCACTCTCTCTGCCAATGGGGGAATGGTTCCTGACAGTAATTTCACTCAATTATGGATAAAAATATGTATCTCTGTGCCTCTGAGTTAGGCTGTGTAAACACCAAAATCTCCACATTTGTGTGTGTGTGAGAGAGAGAGGGAGGGGGCGGGAGGACTTCAGAGCTGGATTTGGTTAAGTAAATGAATACCAGCTAGCCTGGAAAAGGATGTGATTAGTCTATACATATTGATAGGGGGGAGATTTCAATGAGATCCTAGGTGAAAAGGAAAAAGGGGTGCGGGGCAAATACACAGATCAAAACGTCCAATGTAATCCACTTGAAGTGAGAAAAGGGAGGTAGATGTCTTTAGAACTGTTTGCCCATGCCAAACCAAACCACACAGAGCTGGTTAATTGATAAAGAACGGAGATTGACTTGGTCTGCAGTTCCATTGGTTGACAGCCCATAAGATAACCAGGCGCAGGCCTGGGAAGTGGTATCTCTAGAGGAGGGCTGTGAGCTTGGAGCCTGGGGTGGCCCATGGCTGGGGTGGGACGGGGACCCGGGGCACACCCCTGACTTGTCCCCGGAACGGAGTTGGTTTGGGGCGCATGGCGCGCCAGGGGCGCACGCCTTCCCCTCCCTGTCCCCCCCCCCCCGTGCCGGCCTGGGCCACGCGCGCACCGCGCCCTTCGCCCTTTCTTCGCTCACGCGCGCTCCATCCATGGCCACGTCACAAGCCCAACTCCCCCGCAGCGTGCGGGCTTTGCTTTGGGGCTCCTTGCGCGCAGCTAACGGAAAACCTCTCCGACCCTCTGGGGGCGATCGTGCAGAACTGCCCCTCATGGGGAGTTATCTGAGCCGGGATCGGTCTCACTCACAGTCCCCCGATCTACGGGGCGGCCACCACCATAAGAAACCTGTGCGCCTCGGGTCCTTGCACCATGGCCATCGGATTCCTCCAGCTTTCCGGGTTCACGCGGTAGCCCCGTCCTTGAACTTGGCCCGGAGGGTGTCCTATGAGGATCGTGTGGCGTCTGCAAGTCGTCGTCAGCACTGCCGGCGACTTGTGATCGTCCATAGGCAACGGTATCCAGTAGAGCAGGCTCGGTGTGTGTTTCTCGGGGTCTTCTCCTCAGCGACCTGGAAGGACCAGCAGAAGAAGTCGGTGCTGTCTGTGTCCAGCTCCAAGATGCCCTGTCCTTCAGTGAGCCTGAACTTGACATCCGCTAAGGGTAAAGTCACCCTGCGGCTGGCTCTCCAGCAGTCAGTCTTGAATATATGGTCTTCACTCACTGGCCACCTCTCATTTCCATATGCAAAAGAGATCGTGGTGATAAAAGCCCTTCGAGACAGTGGCAGTCAATCAAAAGCCAAGGAAGAGAAAGAGGAAGAGCTGGCTACCTTGGGGGACAGGGTAGAAGGGCTGGCCAAGCAGGAAAGCCAGATCGTCTCCAAAAGGCAGCATGGTGCCAGGAAGGCGTTGGATGGCAGAGACACGGCACCATCTGCGTTCAGGCGCCTGGTGGTCAATGGGGTACTTTCTTCTTTTATGCCCAGGCCTGGGCCTCTGAAGAGAGAATTTTGCCACAAGACCTCACTAAGCAGTCTGCTTTCGAAATCCCAGATCTCCACAAGCTCATGCAGCCAAAGGAATGCGATCGCAAGTTCTTACAGTTCCTCCACTGGAGGTTTCTCCATCCTGCAGAAGAAAAAGAGTGGACGTACTGCAGGACTTCCTTCTCTGGCATCCTCTTTTCCCCCAAAGCCGGTAAGAAATGTCAGTGAGAAAGACCAGCAGGCGAGCTCTTCAGCCTCAGTGGTACCACAAAGGAAAATCACACATGCCACCGTTACACAGGATTCTTCTAGCCAGCCACAACATCGGAGCGATCAAACACCCTCATCTGATCTTTGTGGACCCCAGAAACGCAAGACTCCTCTGCTGATGCCCTGGAGAAGAAATGACCCATTGATCCTACCCCCGCCCCTACAGATAGGCTATCCCATCACTACCAAAGATCTAGACCTAGAAAAGATAGCCATGATCCAGTGGCTCAACAAGGTCTTGAAGGGTAAGGATGAATCCATCAGTCTAGACTCCAATACTAGTCCTGCCCTCTGTCTGTTGCAGGGATTTTCTTCATGAATTCTACCTCCAGCCCCCCATACTTCTGCCCACACTCATCCTCAGGCGAAGAGCTTCAGCTCCAGTCTTGTGGCCTTTCCATAGTCAACTGGAGCGACCACCTTAATAGTCTTTTGTCATTTACTCTAAACCTTGCCTTGCTTTGTAAAGAAGTAGATTCTATCTCCCTGGCTTACCAGGATTCTGTTACCTCAGTAACTTTGCTGCTTAGCTTTCAGCAGTTTTGGATTCCCAGTTCTGTTTTTGAGACAGCCCATTCCAGCCCAAAGGAGCTCCTGTGGATGCACCAAATGGTTAACTCACCCCAGGAGGACAATATTTTATTCTCATTTTCCTTCCTGCCCAAAGTGCTCACAAAGGTTGGGTAGCTGGGGGTTGCCAGGCTTGGCTGACTTAGTGAATCCCTTGCCACAGAAGAGGGAAGCTTTGAACCAGTTTTCTTCTAGGTGGAACTAGGCTAGAGTGCCCACTGCTGTTATTGTCTCTTCCTGCCACTCCCATTTGCTTAATTCTTAGACTGAAGAATGAGAATAGTGAATAGAAACCAGTAACACTGTTGCTTATTATCAGGTATTACATACTGTACATAATTGTAGGACTATTCTTCAGTATGACTGCCAATGCAGTAGGGTTCTTTATTCTGGTACTACCACAAATATGGAATAACACTGTGCTATATTAAGAGAGCTAAGATGGCAGGCAAAAGGAGTTTTTCAGCTTAATTATTATATCATTTTAATGGTCATTCAATCGATAAACTGAATTGAATAATTTAAGAGCCATTTCTGGAGCACAGTATATGGAATATGCTATCCCAAACATCCTTGTGTAGTACATGACTATATGACTATTTACAAAAATGTTGGTAGAGGAGGGATTTCTAATCTTGCCATTAGCTTAACATTTTTAATTTACAATTAAGTATATACTAAAGGAAACACACAAGGAGGCCTTTTACACATATCACCCACTGTTAATATAATGCATAACTATAGTACAATATAAAAACAGGAAATTAAAACTTGGACAATCTATAGTGCTGTTCCCATTTCCCTAATTATACACATGCATTCACGTTTTGTGTAGCTCAGTGAAGGGTTTTGTGTGTTGGCGGTCATGGGGCTTGAACTCAGGACCTGGACTCTGTCACTGAATTCTTTTGCTCGAGACTAGAATTCTGTCAGGTTGAGTCACAGCTAAACGTCTGGTTTTCTGGTGGTTAATTAGAGATAAGAGTCTCACAGACTTTCCTGCCCAGGCTGGTGATCCTCAGATCTTAGCCTCTTGAATAGCTAGGGCTATAGGGGTGAACAGCCAGTGCCCTGCTCAGTGAAGTTTTATAACATATGCAGTTTCATGCAAACACCACAATTAAGGTAAAGAACTACCATCACATGATTCCCTCTGAAGAGGAGTATCAAAGCCACTTCTGAGTTTATATCACTGGCAGAGAGCAGGCAGCCACATGGCTTCAATGTTGCTGTGGGAAGTTGGGGCTACTTGCTGGTGACTCAGTTGTGAGGCAAGCTTTGGGGCTCTCAATTAGTTCTCACCTGGGCTTCTTGTTACTTTGCAAGATAGAGCAGATGTATTTGTGTATGCATGCTCTGTGTGTGTGCATGCGTGTGCACACTCATGTGTGTGTAGTGTCATATTTCTTGGTAATTCTAGGTTGTAAGTCTCTTTAGCACAAAGTCCTTGATATTTGAGGGAGTAGAGAAATACAGGGAACTCACCACTAACCACTACTCAGGTTTTGAGGTTGCTTGCCGTTTTTCTCTGCCAAACTTCTATTGTTTGCTTGATAATTTCCCAGGTGTATTTAATTCTATTAGAGGGACAGCTCAGGGCCAATAAGTACATACCACCTTGTCTTGGCAACAATTGTGTCCTCCATGGTATTGTATTGTGCATTTATTGCCTTTGTTATTGCCCTTTATGTAACCACTGTGATTTTTGTCTTTTACAGAGGATGGAGCTAAGACCCACAGCAGTTAGATGATTTGAGGACCACCGCATAACTCATCTGCTGACCCACAACCTGAATGTCCAGTCTGTACTTCGTACACGTAGTACAATATCACATTCCATGTAGACTCATTTTAATACTTAAAATAATCCCTTAAAGTACTAACTGTAATGTCTGACTTAGACTTGTGTGTTGCATATTGTCTTTGATTATGGCTCTGTATCCTCTTGTTGGCCACAGCCATGATCCACCTACTCCCTTGGTCTTCCACTGTTTCTCGCTCATCAGGAAAATGATAATCACTGAGGATGCTAACTTGAAATGTTCTTCAACTTTCATTCCTCAGGGCACCAGAGTGGTACCCAACTCCATTCAGATTCCAAGGAAAGCCTTCTTGGAACCACTCTCTGTGCCATGCCACCAAAGCATCTGTATTTGTGCCCAGAACAGCATAAAACTCCTTTTTAGTGGCACCATCAGTTTTCATCTTTGACTCTTCTGCCATTCATTGTCCTACACACACACACACACACACACACACACACAGTCTCTTTTGCATCTCATCTAGCCTGCTTTAGGCTCTTCACCTGCACGTGCCCCCTTTCCTAGCTTCATGGAATTCAGTCTAGTTTTCTCTAGGACAGTGACAGCCTTTGGGCAGAACTCAACTATAGAAGAAAATACGTGGTCCTGAGACCTGAATCAGAGATAAATCCTCAAAGAGGAAGGGGATATTGTTAAAGTGGCTGAGACAAAATAGGCCACCAACACCAGGACATGAGGACGGACCTTCAAGGACAAAGGACAGAGGAGGACTGGATTGTTCTGGATGGACTAAACATGATAAGCAGCAGAACCTAGTGTTAGAAAAAATTCTACCATAAATCCTCTACCCAGAACTATCTTCATGTGTATGGAGAAAGGGATCCCATAAAAGCCATCTTGGGATAGTGTCTCTCACCATGAGATGACATGGTCCTCACTGTTCAGGACCACAGTCAGGCTAGCCCTTAGCTCAAGGTCTCCAGACATGGCAATTCACTCAGGGGAGAAGTTGCTATAGTTTAAATCTTCAACATCTCTTTAAAGGTGCATGTATTAAAAACTTGGTCCCTATGCCTACTGGGAGGTGCTATGGACAATTAGAAGGTGAGCCCTAGTGGGTGGTTATCATCTCATTAGGAAGTGTGTTGTCCAGGAAAAAAATATGGACTTGCCCTTCATTTTGGCTGAACCTAAGCAGAATTCAGTGGGTGAAGTCTATACCACAGAGCAGAGCACAGGGAGGCAAGAATAACATTAATGATAAAATAGAGTCTGCCGTTGGGGTGTGTGGGGATTCCATGGGAGGGACATAGGTAAGTAACTCTAAAACAAGAAACAAGTGTAATTTTTATTTTCAAGAGTTCTCAATGAGCTGAAGAGACCCAATCTGAAGCTTCTGGATTGAGGCCTGGGTGTCAGAGGGTGACAGTACAGCCCAGTTCTCAGGGAAGCCAGTCCCAAGCTCTAGCCTCAGAGTGAGACCCGAGTACCAGAAGTTTAGTGACTACCACTGTGAGTTCTTTTGTAGAAGCCTTTTTTTTTGGGTACCAAGGTAGGCTCTGTATCTTGGATCGACCCTATGATGGCTGACCTCGGGGAAGAAGAGGTAACTTTGCATTTTCTAACTAAGTTCCATGTGTAAGATGAGCAGGGGCTGCCTGCAGGACACAACGCGGGCATTGCGAGACCAGGAGCAAATTCCCTGAAACCCAAGGATGTGGGGACCGGAAGAGGCAGGAGAACCCTGCGCACGCGCACTTGATAATCCGTCGGTGGCTCCCGAGAAACGGAAGTGGCCGCAAGGGCTTTTGGGGGGAGTAGTCTTTTAGGCAAAAAAAATCAGAAGAGCAGAGGCCACGCTTAGGATCCCCTCACGAACTTCGTTACTTTGCTCATATTTGAGAGAGGAGATGATGGTTCCAGGAGTCTGCAAGTCGCTGTTATTCAGGTGTTCTGTTTTAAAAGGCTCGCCGCGGGGGCGGAGGGGAAAGGCTGACGGCTATGACTGACTTCCGGTCTCTCAAAGGATTCTGGGGATTGTAGTCCCGGGGCGAGTACGCACTGGATGGCGGCAGGGGCGGGGGACCTTCACACACTTTCACAGTCCCTCAGTGAGTGAAGTTTTCTAATAGCGAAGTCGCGCCATTGGCCTTGGGGGCGCCCGTCAAGGCGTAGGGAGTCGTGCGAACTAGCGGGGAGCCTGGAGGAATGAGTTATCAGAGGACAGTCGGGGAATGGGGACGCGCCTCAGGCTTGGCCTGGCGGGCGGGGCGGAGCCTCGGGCCCGGCCCCCGCCGGGATTTTCTCCTCCTAGAGGCTCAGGCGCTGGTTGGTGGCTCTGTGGCTTCAGGTTTCACCTCCTGTAGAGTAAAACGTCCCTGCTAGTGGCCGTGGGAAGTGGCAGTAATAATAATATAATAATAATTTCCAGAATATTTTTAATTTAGAAAGTTTTTAATAGAAGGACTTCAGGCCTGGGCTGAGTGTGGTTCAAATCTGACCGTGGATCTCAAGTGGGTTCGTGCCTTGGGTGGAAGTTGGGCCTGGGGCAGGAGGGTACAGCTTTTGGACTTGTATTCCAAGGAGGTTAAGATTTGGCTAAGAGGAAGATTTATTTCCAGATGAGTTCTGCAGCTTTGGGATTGGGTGAGAACTTTGGTGGTCACTTCTGCTTGCCTGTTTTATTTTTTTGTTTGTTTTGATTTTTTTTTTTTTTTGGTCCAGGTCCTGGGGCAGGAACTCAGGGTCTGGGTGGCACTGTCCCTGAACTTCTCCCCCCTCCCCCAAGGCTAGTACTCTACTACTTTACTACTTGAACCACAGCTCCATGTCTGGCGTGTGTGTGTGTGTGTGTAATTAATTGGAGGTATGAATCTCATAGACTTTCCTGCCCAGGCTGACTACAAATGGCCATCCTCAGGTCTCAGCCTCTCGATTAGCTAAAATTACAGGTGTGAGCCACTGGTAGTTACCCTGGTGGTTGTTTTTGCTTGTGTGTGTGTGTGTGTGTGTGTGTGTGTGTGTGTGTGTTAACCAGTGAGTCATAGCTGGTTGCCTGAAAAGTTGGAATGCTGGTGGAGAGGGAGGCAATAACCACTAAGTCTAGGATTCTTTGTCTGAACATCTAATGGTTATTAGTCAACACAACTGATTCACAAATTAAAGCATCTCTGGTAATGCCCAGGTGGTGGGACTTTTATTTGTAACTTTTCATGAAAACTCTTATAAAAGAAACAAAACAAACAATAATAACCCCCTCAGACATTCCACAAAGTAGAGGATCTAGTTCAAAGTACCCTTGTGAACCCAGCTCCAAATCTCACTCTTGCTAACTCATATCAGAGCCAGTCTGTGGCATCCAAACCTTTAGTGGAAGTTCAGGATACCTTTTGATAATCATTATACCCTTTACAACCAGGTTAAATGTGTGGCCTTCCACACCCAGAGTTCAAAGCCAGGCTGAGCCATTTTCTAGCTGAGCTACACTGAACAAGATACTTAACCTTGATTCTTCATCTGTAAAAGGATGATGACAAATGGGGCCATTAGGAAACCCAAATGAGGCAAAACTTAAACAGGGACTGAACTACACAAGTCCTTGGGATATACCAAGTGCTCAGTGAATATTAACTGTGAGTCCTGACAGTCTCTGAACAGATTTCATACGGCACATTAAAAAGTCTGTTTTCTATACACAATCTCAAACTCTCTCTCCTAGAAGCTGTTAGAAACTCTATCCTTCTGTTACTAATCTTCTGACATAAAAATAATAGGACCCCCCTCCTTTTTTTCCTGTGAAGCTGAGGCTTAGAGATTTCCAACCTGGACTTTGGAAATCCAATGGCTGTCCCAAGCCTTATGCTAGCTTTCTCTTCCCTGACCAGCCTTCTCCAGCTCCTGCTTTCCTGAAGAGAACTTCCTGTTAGAAGGGAGGACACCCCAGCCTACTCTCCTATATGCCATTATGCCATTTCCTTTCTACTTGAGTCTCTAGTAGAGTCTCTAAATCTCTAGTAGAGACGTGGCTTTTAAGATTAATTCAAGGCTAAGTTAATCATGTGATAGGCAGCCCACACTGAGATGTCCCTTAGTGTCATAAAGTATCTTTTGTACTTACCTGGTCTGTGCCTACTTAATAGAGTTTAGGGATCTCTTTGAAGTCTTCTGGTTCAGGACACTATCCTCCCACTTTTTCAAAAAAAAAACTATAAAATGAAAAAGCTGAGTATCTGGGCTCATTACTGCTATATCCTAAGCTCCAAGTAGATGTGAAATTTTGGCCATATAAGAGGCAGGACATCTAATGACATTGGGGGTGGAGGGAGAAAAAGAGAGGGGAAGGGAGAGAAAGGGATTGGTTAGAGGGGAGACAGGAGAGAGGAGAGATCCATATATACAAGCACCTGCCTTCCTCCTCCTATTCTTTACCACCCATGGTGCCTGTAAGCTAGTCTCTCATTACATGGACCTACATTGCAGAAGAACTTCTGGTTGAAGTGTTCCGCCCATGCACTTATCCTGTCTGGAGGACATGACTTCCCAGTAACACTTGCCCCAAATCCCTCCAAGGCTTAAGCCTCAGACTTACCAACATACATCTCTTATTCTATTAGTACTGCATCAATATAATATTGATCCTTTGACCTGTCCCAGTTGCAAGCTCTATCTTAGACACAGAGAAACAGTCTGGGAGGAGAAAAGCCATTTTCTTAGTTATTTTTAAGAAAAACAAATAGACATGTGGCTCGGCTAGCACTCTACCACTTGAGCCACAGTGCCACTGGCAGCTTTTTCTGCTTATGTGATGATGAGGAATTGAACCCAGGGTCTCATGCATGCAAGGCAAGCACTCTACCACTGAGCTACCTTCCCAGCCCCTCTTTCCTATTCTTAACTATGAGCTAAAGATAAACCCTGCTTCATTCACAGGAAGAGGATTTCTGTCTGAGCATCTCTCATTCTTTTTGTTTCCAGATCTTCCTTT